AAGCTCTTCAAGTACTTCAGAATAAAGTAAATTAGTTTACTCTTCTTTTGACTTTTTTTTTTAAGACCCCACTTAAACTATCTGAACTATGTTTCCAGCCCTGGCTTGCTGTTTTTTCCATCAAATGATTCTAGCCAGAATCAAAATGATCTGTGAAGAAATAAATTGGATAAAAATTCTGTGATTTATTATTCATTTTTTCATGTTCAAAGTCTATTTTCCAAACAGGATCATAAGCAACTGAGACAGAGCCATGTCTCATACCTTTTTGCATTACTAGAAACTAGCACAATTCCCCACACAGGGCATTTCTTGGTGCTGATAAAGATGTTTGGAAATGGAATTAGCACTTTATGTTGTCATTTCCAGTATCCACTGATTTTCTAAATTTATAGTTACATTTTGAGATATTTATTTTTAAAAGCCTCTTATTTATTCCATTTACACATCATTTTCTATTGAATGATGTCAGAGCAAAGAGCAGGGTTGTCCAACTTGGCGTACAGGTCAAGTTACACAAATGCTGGTAGGATCGCTTACTGGATTCACCCATTGAAAAATAAGTAGAACAACAAGTTACCACTTTTTCATTACTCTTCCTGGCATGACTGAAAGAAATTCTATATAGGTAAAGAGTTGAAAATTCTTTCCATTGAGGTAATTGATTCTAGTTCTTTTAGAAATTTGGTAACCATGAGAACTATCAAATGTGATTTAAAAAATAATGTGCACTTGGAAACATTCCAAAAGGAGACTTTGAAGTAAATTATGTATCTTCCTATTTAACCTCTTAAGAAATCTCTTTTGACATGAGGAACAGGCATGATGCTTGGAAGTCACATGGGTGGCACCTTTGGAAGTTTCTCTAAACTGCTCGACCCTGTGAACTGGTGTGTGCATAACCACCAGACTATCCCTCAGCAATGTCACCTTATGCAGAATACCTTTGTGACAAGGCAATGCTTTGAAAATAGGAGCAATGGTACCCAGGCTGCCATTCAAACTAATTTACTATTTGGTAAAAACAAAACAAAACAAAACAAAAACAGAGCCCACCAAGTTTGTAATCTCATTAAAAGACGCTCAATAACAATAGAAATTTTATAGGATTGGCAATGGGGATTAGAATAATGCTTTCATGCATTTTTTTCATAAGCTTAAAAAAAGGTTGCTGACAGCTGGTCTGTGTCTTTGCTAAACTTTTTAACTTGGTATTTCTAAAGTTCTAAATACCAGGGCCTAGACTGCCAAGGGAGGGAGAAGTGAAGAACCAGGTCCACAAAAGGGGAATGGATACATCCTCTCTTACCCATAGAGGGAGAAATACTGATTTGAACTAGACCTGAGTAATTTAGATTCACTCAGGTGTTCAGTCTTAATTGTTGCCTGGGAACGAAACACACAGAGAGGGAAATCATCCTAATCAGCTTACACATGACCCCCTTCTTAGTTCTCCGTCAGCATGAAGCAGTTCACAGCTTTCTGGGTTACAAGGCTTCCCCTCTCAACATCCTGTAAAAACCCTCAGGGTGTGGACACTCCCACAGCAGAAAAGAGCACTGAAGACGCTGAGGGATGGTAAGGAACTCTTGGACCCCATTCTGTCATCTTTCTTGTTCTCATCACTTTAATTTTTTTTTTTTAACCACGCATTAGCAAAAATGGACTATCACTTAAACCAGTGGTTCCCAAGCCTGTTGAATCACAGGACCACCCATGGGAATTTTTGAAAAAGACAGGGTTCTGGGCTCTAGCACAGACTTTCTGAATCAGGCTCTTTGGGTAGTTGAGCTAGGAATTTGTGTTTTTTGAGTTCCGTGATTCTGATTACCTGCCAACTTTGGGAAGGATTGAGAGGATTGTCAGGCTATAGGCTACCTTGGTCTCTACCTTTGGTAAAAGAGGTGTACCTGGGTCTTGAATCATTTTGGCAATTAGAGAGATCTGGTTAGAGCTACAGCTCTCTCTCACATACACCATGCTGTTGTAGATGCTGAGGAGCCCAAACCTATGGACCAGAGAATATTCCATGCAGGGGCCTCAGTGATTGCATGTCCAGCAACCTAACAGTCTTAAGCCATCACATCCCCAGGGGGAAAAAAATTCCCAACAGTGCTGCCAAGGCTGTGCTTACACTCAGAATGGATTTTCACCCACTCTAGCTGCTTCTCATCCTACTGTTCACACTGTATAGCATTTGCCCACCTGGGGGTAGCTGGTCCCTAGTTGATTTTATCCAGAACCCTCTTTCCCTTGAGTGTTCATAACAGTACCTGCGAGAAGAACTCATTTAAAAGGGGAAGCCTAGGGGCACCTGAGGGGCTCAGTCGTTAAGCATCTGCCTTTCGCTCAGGTCATGATCCCGGGGTCCTGAGATCAAGCCCTGCCTCAGGCTCCCTACTCAGCAGGGAGTCACTTCTCCCTCTCCCTTGGCCCCTCCCTCCCCTCATGCCCCCTCTCTCTCTCTCAAATAAATATTTTTAAAAATAAAATAAAAATAAAAGGAGAAGCCTATGCACACATGATCCAAATTCTACAGTTCCCAATGATAACACTATTATGTGTGATTGTAATTCTCTACATTCTTTCAGCTTATTTCCTGCCACCAGAGTGACGAATGCTCTGATATGTTCCTGAATTTCTGTGATGCGCTGCCATGAAGTCCTGTAACTTGTCTCACTGATGGTGTTGAACTCAGGGTTAGCTTTAAGTGCTGGGCTGTTTTCAGAAAGAGCAGCCTCTAGGTGCGTCTCCCACATGGTGCTGGCCCAGAGAGATATGATAGCACAAGGGCTCCAGTTCCTTCCCTATCATGCTGTCCTGCTTGGCAAACCTAAGGATTTAGTGCATTTTTAGAAAATTGCAGAGACTTGCTTTGGAAGGTGAGTTTAAGTGTGTGTATGCATATATCTATGTACATATTTTATAAGTGCGGAGATGGGGCTATGTGTATGTGTATGTGTGAACTTAGGGTGCATGGGGATACCAATAAACTATAAGACACAAATTTGCTAGTGTTTCTTGTATCTCAAAGAGCAATATTATGGCCATTTTGGTATCTGATAATCATAATAGAGCACAGTTGTTACCTGTAGAGATACAATTTTTTTTAAGTAAGCTCTATGCCCAACGTGGGGCTTGAAACTCATGACCCGGAGATCAAGAGTCACATTCTCTATCTACTGAGCCAGCCAGGCACCCCATGTGGAGCTACAATTAATCCTTGAATTGGTTACCCTTCTATGTCACTGGAAGTCATTATTCAAAGTTGGGAAGATGCCTAGATAGTCAGGACTGGTGGAGGATGTGGCAGTGGAGAACGGGGTGGAAACACCAGTTTTCTCTGCTTCTCCCACCACCATTCCCTCTGTAAGATAATTTGACAAATCTATCCCCTCCTCCCAGTTATGGAAGAGGAATGCGATAGTTAGAGGATCGGGTTGCAGTTTGCAGAAAGGAATCAGGATAAGCTATAGACATTCTTTCTTTCATTCCTGAAACAACTTCCCTTCCTAATGGTGCCCCTAAGTTATTTGTTCTCTCTCTTTTTTTTTTTTTTATTTTCCTAAGTCAGGGCAAAACATTTCTCTTTTTTTAAAATTGGGATAACATATAAATAGCATAATATATGTCATTATAACCATTTATAAATATACAATCCAGTAGCATTAGATTTCTCTACTTAATAGTGAATTCCATGAGTTCACCATGCTGATTGTAGCTAGCTTATGTGGCTTCTGGGGGAGATTAGCAAGAGTGTACAAGTCAAAACCCTAGAAGCCTCCAACCTTTCCATCTTCCTCTACAGGTTTCTTAATAGTTTGCTCACTTTTCAATTCAAGGGACTTTTACTGAGGGAGGTTTACCTGTAAAAGGCTATGCCAAGTTGGATGGGAGATACAACACTGCAGACCATCTCCTGTCCCCCAAGGACATCTGCTGGAGAAGAAAGCCAGACCGAAAAACTAATCATCAAACAAAATACAATGTAAACACAAAAGAAAACAGCCAAGTGCTAAAAGGTAGAAGAAGAAGGACGAATTAGGACTAACTGGGGGAGATTAGGAAACGAATAAAATTTCTAAGGGAGGAGAAGGGTGGTCCTGGCAGAACACAGGAAAGAACAGTGCTTGACATATAGTAAGTGCTCAATAGTTATTGAATAGGGGAATGAAATGCAAATGTGAATGAATAAATGAATGAGAGCCAAATCTGAGGAAAGACTGGGAACTGTGAAAGCATAAGGACACTGATGATGTGTCGTAGCTGGATGTGGTCAGGGTGTACCGTGGGGAGTCGTATCAAGAGGATAGGAGACAGATGCCTGGCTGGCTCAGTCAGTAGAGCAATTCTTGTAAGTTCAAGGCCCACGTTGGGTATAAAGAGGATTTAAAAAATAAAAACTTAAAAGAAAAAGATGATAGGAGAAAAAGTAGGATCATATTAGGGAAACCTTGGCCCCGAAGAGCAATTTTCGCCAAATTCCCATCAGAATAAATGGAAAGGAGGACCCTAAGGGAAAGACAATAGCTACAGTGAAAGTCCAAGTCCACTGCACTCTTAAGAGAAGGCCGTCAGGACACTGGGGTGAGAATGGGGGTGGAGGTGGGGTCCAAGAATTAAGACAAAATTCAGACCACAGGGGAGATTCTATGAAGATATTTATTCAGTGAGTCATAAAACAGTGAAGCAACAGCATGCATTTGACAAACAGGAATGAAAGGCCTACTCAGGCCGTCCCTGGGGCCACAGAGTGGCTGTGGCAGTCACTTCCATCATGGTGTCCATTCTACTTTGAAAGACAGAAAGGGGGGCACCTGGGTGGCTCAGTCGTTGGGCGTCTGCCTTTGGCTCAGGTCATGATCTCAGGGTCCTGGGATCGAGCCCTGCATCGGGCTCCCTGCTCCGGAGAGGGGCCTGCTTCTTCCTCTCCCACTCCCCCTGCTTGTGTTCCCTCTCTTGCTGTCTCTCTCTCTGTCAAATGAATAAAATCTTAAAAAAAAAAAAAAGACAAGTAAATCCGTGATTTGGATCGGCTCTGAAAGTGTTGTAACAGAGGTTCTGTGCTAAGTGAAATGGCATAGAGTAAAAGGAGAGAGTAGGGTCAGCCCTCTGGGGTCAGGGAGAAACCTCACCGACAGGTGACATTGGAAAGTCCTCTTTGGAGCATAACGTACAAGGGCGTCAGTCGGAGAAGAGAGGCAGGCGATCCGGGCCGAGAGGGTAGCAGAGACAAAGAGGGGCATGAAATCGCAGGGCGAGTGAGGCACTGCTTCATACCATAAGCAGCTGCTCACTAATCTACGCAGAGATATTCAGACTTCTAGAGATTAACCATCTGGAGGACCCTCACAGCTGCTCTTTGAGAACCACGGTGTTAACGGACAAAAGGAAACCCTGAGAAACAGCGAACATGGCCAAATGGTCAAAGAAGCTGGAAAGTAGGACGCTGCTGTCCAGCACTGCTATGAATGCTAGCCGGATTAATAACAAGTGGTGAGTCAACTTGGTGTGTTACAAATGTACGTAGTAATTAGACTACTTGGGTTCCTTACAAATGCAGATTGATCAATATTATTACCGTCCTATCGCTTGCACATCAGAAGTTAGTATCTTTCCTACTGGTCCCATTTGTGCCTTTACCCCATAAGCTTGAATTCAGTACTCATCGCTCCACTTCCTCGAGGGCCTATGACAAGGGAAGGCAGCAGTTCTCCCAGGTGAGCAGCCTAATGCTGTGAAGGCTGGAAGCATTTGTTCTCATTTATTGACTGTTGGGCTGGTCCAAAACCCATCTTTCCAGGCTAGCGTGCCTACTTAGTAATTAAAGTGAGGTTTTTATATGGCTTAAAATATTTTAATGTGACTGTTCCCTGAAGGTCCACAGCAAAGTCTGGTTTAATAAATTTAATAACTAATTAAGACACCCTCAATTTCAACCTCCATTAGGTTAATTTTTTAATGAGTTTCAGAATATCTCTCAAGACGTTTCTTCCCTAGATGTGGTGAGAAACACACACATGCACGCATGCACCCCAAGGATGGATTTGAGGCTTTGGTATGCCAGGCACTAGCTGTGTAACTTCAGGGAAAATCACTGAACCCCTTTTGGCTGCCTTTTCCTTATCTATAAAGGAAAAGGTTTGGACAAGGTTTTCAAATTCCCTTTCATAGCTCGGAGGACCATAGGGGAAGGGAGAGAAAACTAAAGGGGGAGAAATCAGAAAGGGAGACAAACCATGAACCATGAGAGACTATGGACTCCGGGAAACAAACTGAGGGTTTCAGAAGGGACGGGGGTGGGGGGACGGGGTAGCCAGATGATGGGTATTGAGGAGGGCACGTGTTGTGATGAGCACTGGGTGTTATAGGCAACTAATGAATCATGGAACACGACATCAAAAACTAATGATGTACTATACAGTGGCTAACTGGACATAATAAAAACAAAAACCAAAAACCAAATTCCCTTCCAATTCTTACCTTTTATTAAGTCCACAGCAGAATGGCTGTTCTCAGTACTTCCCCTTTAAGGGAAGCAGAGGATCCTAAACTGTACAAAATACACTGTGTGTGTGTGTGTGTGTGTGTGTGTACGAATGAACCTCAAACCATCTCATGGCTTTGTGCAATTAGCAGAATTAGGAATGGGGATGTTATCCGTGTACAGAAAAATTCCTTAGAAGATATTATTAACTGGCCAATAAACATAAAATTTGAAGACAATTTGGAGTTACCAAGATGTATTTATTTTCCCCAGAGTACTTAACCCCTCTGCTCCCAGGAGCTTGGGTTGTTTTCCCTTCCAGTGCTACATCTTGGAGATGGAGAAGAATAACTCTAACCAACCCTCCAGTAGGGATTGTAGGGAAAAGCAAATCACCAGCCTGCTCTTTTGTCTTCCTTCTCCTCTCTCCTTGTCTGGCAGATCACACTGTGGAATATTTACCTTGATGGGGGAAGGAGGAGAGAATTTCAAAGAAAGGGAAAGAGGAAAATTAAAATATTAACTATTTCATGGCACAGTGAGCCGGTCCTTCTTCCCAGGTAGACTTGGGGAGTATAGTCTTATTCACACATATGCATGCATGCATGCACGTGCACGGTAGAATAAAATGCAGAATCAGATCTACCTAGCACCTACAAAAATAAATGGTACTTTAAAAAAATAACTATTTTATAATTTGTTTAAAATCCTAGTCAAAATGAGCATTTGCTTTCACCTTGAGCAGTAATTGAGGGGAACACGATCTGAAGAAAAACAAGGTCTGAGCTGTCTCATTCAGCATAGCCAAATGTTGATTATCCAAATCCATGACAAATCTGCCTTTCAGTTTCTTTGTGACATGACTCCCTCCCCCTGCATATTTAACTCATCTTTAAGAATGAGAAGTTGGCTTGTTCTCCAATTTCTTCAGAGCTGGATCTTCCCCGAATAGCAACATTATTTTATTTAAAGTCCACTGAATTCCCAGAATTCTAGAAACATCCATATTCAAATGTTAGAATAAAAACACATTCCAAAGTAAGACGAAAAAGTGCACTCTGCTCTAAAGCATGGAAAAATTAAGAGTTGGCTGTTTGGGAAAGTTTCTGCTGCGTCAAAACCAGTGGAAAGCATTGCCTGTCTTCATTTTTAGTATTCATAAAGGCCTCAGTAACAAATTTTGGGGTCATAGCTATGGGAGTTAAACCCACTAGCTGGTTAGTGCCAAGACTCATAATATTCACTAAAGTTAGCTGGCCATTTAGAATGCTCAGGAACAGGGTGATGAATACTACAAAAAAGAAAAGGAGAAACATACAGAGTATTTTTTCCCAATATATCAATATTAGGAACAACAGCAACAATAGAAAATTGGGACTCAGGAATTTCTAATACCTATATTATATCTTTAAAAAATCTCTAAAAATCAATTCTATGTGTGAACAATTATAGCTTAATGTGATCATTTGATGCCTTTATCAGATTGTCCCTATGAGATCATCTTACTCATATTTCTATAGCCTAATAGGATACTCCTCTCCCTATACTCTCTGAAGAGACACATGAAATAATTTAATATCCAGAATGGTGTCCAGAACTTTTTTTAGGTTGAAAATCCTCCTGCTGGGCTCATGGCTCTGCTTCTACCCAAATGCCCTAATTTGGAATGAAAGATGAAAAATCCCGGGTCTTTGGAATGCCAGAGAACTGAAAACCCAATAATTGGACTAATTTTTTTTTTTTTTAAGTTCAGTGTGGTGCTTGAACTCACGACCCTGAGATCAAGACCTGAGTTGAGATCAAGAGTCGGATGCTTAACCGACTGAGCACCCAGGAGCCCCTGGACTAATTTTTAAAGCAGAATCAGGAAATTGGAAACCACCTGCCACTCCAGCATTTCTTTTTCTTTCTCATTGCCTTCTAAAACTCCCTCTCTTGTATGTTCCTCCTCCTTTGCCCTTTTGCTTTTCCAGCTTCTAAGTTTTGCCAGCTGGCACTCAGTGACGCTATTGGACATAGTTTAAACCAACGCGGGGGCTAAGAAGACCGCCAACCATCTGTCCAGAACCCGGAGGCAGGAAGAGTCTTGCTTGTGCTTTACTAGGCTTGATTTATACACAGGTGCTGCTCTTTTGCTATGTAAAGCATGCCTGAAGTAAGCATGCAAGCATGACCCATCCAAGAGTCTCATTTTTATCCTGTTGCCTAACAAGGAGGAACTCCTGACCGTTCTTCAGCATATTAGGGCAACAAAGTTGACTTCCACACAACAGCCTATCAAACAAACCAGTGGCCCTATATGGGAATGATGGAAAGGTAGTAACTGTGGTAAACATCCCTAAAACCAGTTAGATTTTTCCTTCCCTCTTGGTAGGATGTTTGTAAATGTAGTCATGGCAATAAACACAGAATAGCTGCCTGGAAAGGTTATAAAACAACTTCAGAAATCCTCCCGACCAGCAGTTTCTAAACATAGTTCATGCACATCAAAATCACTTGTGGCGCTTGTTAAAAAGTTGGATTCTCAGACACTTAACCAAGACCTTCTAAGTCACGATCTTTAGGATCAGGGCCCCAGAGTGCTATTTCAAGTATCTCATATCCAGCCAGGTTTCAGAACTCCTGCTAGGCCGATCCACAGTTCCCCACTTACTCTACTGGCTGTTCTCTGGGGGAGCGGACAGCCACTGAGAGTGGGCGCAGTACTTCTTAGGGTAAGGATTCAAAGCAAAATCGGAGAAACTAAGATCCCTAAAAATAAACTGGTGATTTTTTTTTTTTAAACAGACCCCCAGGTGACATTGTCAAGCCCTGGCCATGAGAAATTTACACTGTAAAGAGCCTGAGTTTCACACTAATGGAGCCTGCACAGCAAGCTCAAGCCACACTCCAGCTATTGTTATTCAAATAACCTTTGTGGGAGCACCTGGCTGGCTCAGTCGGTAGGGCATGGGACTCCTGATCTCGGGGTTGTGAGTTCGAGCCCTGCCTTGGGTGCAGAGACGACTGGGAAATAAAATCTTTAAAAAAACAAAAACAAAACCACAAATAACCTTTGCTCCTGGAGAGTGAGCTAAGTGGTAGAAGCATAGTGTTGACACTGGATCATTGGCCCATTCTGCCAGAAGCCCCCTGATTCCTCAGGTCAGATAGTTGCCCTTCCTCTAAGTCCCCTTGCTACCCAATCACCGCCCCTATCATATAGCACTTATACAGTAGATTCACACAATAACCGGCTATTTACATGACTTTTTTTCCCCACTGTAAACTCCACTGTAAACTAAGGTATCTGTTACTACAACTGTCGGTACCCCAGCATTAAGTACTCACCCAGTGTTTGCTGAATGAATGAATTTGTATTTTAGATGGTTCCAACTTGGTTAGAATTTTCTCTGCGGGATTCCAAATGCATTTATTTTGAAGAGCAACCCACGTGCTTCACAATTTAAAACACTGTCTGTTCCACCTGAGAACAGCAAACAAACAATATTCACAGAGGTTAGGCCCACCTGCCAGTCCAGGTGGCCTTTGTAAATGAAAGTCTTGTTGGAACATAGTTACACCCTTTCATTTACCTTATCGTTTATAGCTGCTTTCACGCTGCAGCCACAGGATCAAGTAGTTGCCACAGAGAGACAGAGACTGTATTTCCCCCAAGAAGCCCCAAATATTTATGATCTGGCCTTCTACGGAAGGGTTTACCAACTCTTGCCCTGGAGTTGGGCGGACCTGTGTGACATTGGGCACATTGCTCAGCTTTTCTGAATTTTGGTTTTCTCATCTGGATAATGGGGATAATAATGGTGTTCTATCTTATAGGGTTTTGCTTGGAATATATGGGATAATCCTTGTAAACCTGAACATACTCTGTGTTCAGCAAATATTAGCTGTTACTTTTATTACTTTGCCTATATTCCCTCTTGTCTTTTTTCGGCTACTCCTCATCTGCCTTAAAATTTTTAATAAAAATAAAGCCAGAGCATTCTCTAGCTTTAGAAGCTTTGCCATTTGAAAGAACTTTGGGTTCAACCACTCTTTGATGATAAACTGCCCCGCTCTTTAGAACAAAGACTTAAATAAGTCTTTATTTCTATAAAAAAATTAAAAAAATCCAAGACAAGGTCTTTGGGTATTTAATAAACATGCTTTGCTATGAGATGCTTGCTTTTGCACAAGCTTCAATCATAAGAGACAGAAGAGGGGCTTGACCTCACACACATCTATCCCCCAGTTTGGTATCTGTCTTACACGTTATTCCATTGCCTTTAAAATCAGACACCCATTAACACTTCTATTAAATGTCCTGAAAAAATGCAGAGGTGGGGGGTGGAGCACTAAGTACATCGAATGGTTTTTTGTAGTGAAAAGGTCTGAGTGATAAATAGGAAACCAAGCCAAGAATCTCTAAAGGCATCTTTTACTTAACTTGAGCCCTCATTTCTGGAAAGCCGGCTGACCACTCCTGTTAAAAAGTCCTTTCATCAAACAGATGTCCTGCTGAGTGGACTGTAGCTCATGGAAAGGAGGACAGCTCTCTGACTCACCTAACGTCTTATTTATTAATTTCTTTTTCTGATTGTGGAGCTCAAGTGGAATTTCAGTTTTTCCTTTAGCATTCAAGATTTCTGAAGTCTTGGCATTGACCAAGACTCTGCCCTACAGGAATTTGCAGCAGTAGACAATTCCTACTTTGACTTCTTTCTGTACTCTTCTACCCATCTGTGGGGTTACCTGCTTGGGCACGGTGGCTAACTGCCCAGAGCAACAGGAATTTACAGTTTTTGTTAATGTACAAATCTGTGCTCTGTAAGTGGGACTGTAGTGTGGACTTGTATAGTTGGGAGACTCGTGTGTTGGGTTAGAATTGATTTAGATTCAAGAAATTTCTTTGGGAATTTTACCCTGAACTCCCAGGGATAAGCTCACTCAGCTCTTGTGTCAGTCCAGGTCCTCCAAGAAGCAGTCACCAAGAAGGAATTAGGCATGTCTGAAGTTTACTGGGAGCAGAGCCCACAGAGGATATAGGGGGCTAGAGAGTGAGAGGAGGCAGAAGAGCCTTCCAATTGTGATGTAGGTCTAACACATATGAAGAGAGAAGGGGAAGGAGAACGGCACAGTAGCTCTACTCTGAGCTGAGACAAGAAGAGAACGCTCATGTTTGGCAGAATTGGCCTAGCTCTATACCCCCCCCCCAACTCAGGCGTTGGCTGGGACCAGCCTGGCATGACTGTGGCCACAGGGTGAACATTGGGACATATCCAAAGGTGCGAGAGCTGGCCTTACATCTGGTTCTCTTAAAGGGAGAACTGAATGACACACTTCTGTGGCCACCATCGTCCACTCCTACTGCCTCACAAGGCATCCATTTCAGACAAGTTCAAACAGCAGATCATCCATGGTTCCTATAGTCCCCTCTTCCTGAGGAGCAACTTAGAAAAAGGAGGTTCGTGGGACAAGCTATTGTCCCACCTCTGTACTTAGTTTTTGAGTCAAAACTGGCACTCACCCTCTCCCTCCTCTACTATCCATTCTAGATCTCCCTCATCCTCTACCTTTACTTCCACAAGTATTGGTGGCTCTCCTGGGTAGTTGAACCCAAACCCTCATTCCTGAGGGGTCTTCATATCCTTCCTGCACTGGGGTTGCTGTATGTGCTCATTCAGTTATAGTTGGGTAACAGATTACCAGGAGGTATCCAAGTACTTGTTTTCATTCCTGCCCCCATTGTGTAAAAACAGCCCCATCTCTCTTACTGATCAAGGTTAATTGTTCCAGATTTTACTCTTTGTCAGCTGGTGTCTGGACACAAAATTTTGAAGTATCCAGGTGGCGGTTGTACCTTGTAATTCAGTGGGACTCCTTGCTCTGTTTCATGGCAAGGGGGCACTTCCTTTGGGAACCAGGACTTCTAACTGTGCACTTCTCAGAATTACCAGGGTAAGTCATTGGGAATAATGGCAAGAATACTTCTGCTTCCATCCTTAATATTATTCTTAGAGGGGATACAGTCCATAAAGGGGTCTCTAAAAGATACGGTGTTCTGAAGGATGGCACTCCATCCTGTAGGTATTGCCACCAAATTGGCACCTCAGCTATACCTTCACTAGGCCATTCCAATGCTTTAATAACCATTGCCTGGGAATATGTATTGTGAAAGGCAGTTTCTATGATGGCTCCCAATGATCCCCACCTAATGGTGTCCATGCCCTTATGTAATTCCCTCCCCCTGGAGTGCGGCTGGACCTAATGACCTACTTCCCACAAATAGAATACAGCAAAAGTAATGGGATATCACTTCAGATATTAGTTACAAAAAGACTAGCTTCCATCCTGCTCACCCTCTTATACTCTTACTTGCTCACTCTCATGAAAGCCAGCTGCCATGTTGTAAGTTATCCTATAGAGGCTGATGTGGCAAGGAACAGAGGAACTCTGGCTTTAAGGCAGTAAGGAGCTGAGGTCCTCAGTGTAGCATCCTGTAAGAAACTGAATCATGGGGTACCTGGGTGGGTCAGTCTTTAAGCATTTGCCTTCGGCTCAGATCATGATCCCAGGGTCCTGGGATCGAGCCCCACGTCGGGCTCCCTGCTCCGCGGGAAGCCTGCTTCTCCCTCTCCCACTCCCCCTGCCTGTGTTCCCTCTCTCGCTATGTCTCTCTCTGTCAAATAAATAAAAAATCTTAAAAAAAAAAGAAAAGAAACTGAATCCTGAGAACAACTACGTAAGTGAGCTTGATTGCAGATCCTCCTTCAGTGGGGCCTGGAGATGAATCCACCTTGGCTGACGTCTTAGTTGCAGCCTTGTGAGAAACCCTGAGCCAGAGGGTCCAGCCAAACCACACCCGGATTTCTAACCTACAGACACTGTGAGATATGTGTTGTTTTAAGCTGCTAAGGTAATTTGTAATGTAGCAATAGATAAGAAATATACTTTCCTATCTTGGGACATTTCTCCTTCTTCACAAAGAAGAAGGCATGCTGCTTTCTGCTCTGTCCATTGGAAAGATTTTCTTTCTTCACTTTCTTTCAAGTCCACCCTGAGAGTGGCTGTAATGTAGCTGCTGTCCATTTTTGGCTTGCTCACATATGCAAAGTCAACCCATCCAGAACTCAGACTCAGGCTTTGTCCTGTTTAAGCTGGTCATACAGGGACCCCCATATAGGTAGGTGAAAATTGAGGGGGAAATGCTTTTGTGACTGTTTTTGGTGACATGGGGGCCTGGACTACCTGCTCATGAAGCTAAGTTATGCCTCCTGGTGTTGCCTGCGCTCAATCCTGGATATACTACCTCCATCTTTTAATCTATCACTGATGGATCTGTTTGACTTTATAACTTGATGGCACCAAAATAACCTAACTCATCACAGGTAGGTCTAGGTACTTGGTATTCCCTGGTCAAACAGTTCAGGTCTATAGGGCTCAGTAACATATCAAGAACTCTGTTTAGCTATAGATGGCATGACCATGCTCCAAAACTCCAGAAGCCTACCTTGTGATTCTCCCAAAGAGACTGACCATAAACTCTACTTTTCCACCACTGACAACTTGACCATCATAGATCTCATGGCCCAAGCAGCTCAGCCACTTATATTGGACTGGGTATAAAGCCCTTTTCTGCTCTGGGTCCCACTCGAAGCTGGTAGTCTTCCAGGATACCAGTTTATGGACTAACACAATATTTAGGTGTAGAATGTGTTGCTTCCAGGACCCCAAAGTGTTATCGGTCACAGTGCTTCCTTCCTTGTAGTAGATGTAAGAAGCAGTAATATGTCTCTTACTTTGAAGGCATATCCCAGCACCCCACCCCATCTCCGACCACTGGACCCTGGAAACTGTACTGAAGTGGCAGATCTCTGAATCTTCATAGGGCTTCTTTCCCACCTGGTGGAGCACGCACACATCTTACCCACGTCTCCAGTATGCTAACTACCTCTTGTTTCTTTTGCCTGATCAGCATGATGTTATCAATGTAATAATGTTCTGAGAGAAGTCCAGCTCTCTGCTTCAGACTATATTGTGATAAGTGGGATAATTAGCATAACCCTGGAGCAAAACTGTAATGTTGTTTTTTATCCCTTGGCTTTCTCCATCTCCAACTTTCAAGTCTGTTAATCTCAATTACACACTTGAGAACAAGGGAAATGACCCCCATTTGGATCCATGGGCCCAGGGGACTCACTGAGACTGGGCTTTATCCAGGACTCTAATTATAAGCTCATGCACCTACCTATTATTTACTCGTAGTTTTTATGTCTCCTCAACTAGAATATAAGTTCTTTGAGAGCCACAACTCCGTAGGTTGTAGTCGCTGCTAACCTCCTACACCTTCCACAGTGCTGGCACATAGTAGGTGCTCAACATTTAACAAATCGATTGCATTATTATTCCAATTTGCATTGTTTTAGTTATGAGTAAGATTGTTTTCCTTGTTCCATAAGCTCTTTCCCTCACTGTCATCATTGTCAT